AACAACTGCTAACTATTGTATAGTCAAACAGTTATATTTATCGAATCCGCTATTTACCATCCGCTACCCACTTTCCGTTATCCGCCATCCGCTATCCGCTAACCGCCACCCACTATCCACTAACCGTCACCCGCTACCCGCTATTCGTTACCTGCTATCCGCTATCTACTAAATTTTAATCGTTGTACCAAACAAGGCCTTAAGCTAATTATTTTAGTATATATTGAACTAAAATTGCTAAATGTGAAGTCAAGTGATTAAGGACTTATAAGTTATGTGAAAATTAAGCATGTGTTTCAATATAAAACTTACATCTAATCTAAAACCAATTGACAATAAAAACACACTTGTACTTCTTTATCTTATACTTGTCTTATCACATAGCTTAATATGTCCTCTTACATACAAGTTTGGTATTAATTTCAGGTTTTGTCAGGTGGGGTATCAATTTCAGGTCTTGTCAAGTGGGTTAACAACATGTTTTTTTATAACATAATTTAGAATTTAATACCATATGAAAATTGGGCACATGTGCTTAAACACAAGGCTTGGATCTATTCTAAAACTAATTTGCAATAAATGAAGTAACTCTTCTTATAGTTAACTTATATACTTTTCCGTTGTATACTTGATATAAGATTTTTGGACAATGATTAGTACACCTTCCGATTCAACACACTACACAATACACTCCGATTCAATCATTAAAATTTACCTTTGAAAATTTTTTCGTCATAAATTCAAATTTGAAAATAATAGTTTCTTAATAAATGTGTTGTAAAGTGTGTTGAACTGATGAGTGTACTAATCTTTTTTCAAGATTTTTCTATTCAACAAGTTCACATCTTATAACTTTAAGATTGTGGAGAATTTAACTCTGATGCATGTTTTCTCTAAAATGTTTTATAATTTATTTGTACATTGTACCTTAATAAATGTATAATTTTTTTAAGAAAAATTCAATTTTTTTTTTGTAACTTTGGGTTTCATAAGGCAACCTTCTTTTATAATTTTGATTATTCATCTCTTTTTTTTTAATAATTTAATTGATTTTATGATGATTATTTCTTAAGAATAAAATGAAAGTATTATACAATAGTAAAATCTAATAAAAATGTAAAAAAAAAAGTGTTTTTTAGTTGACCAGTTGGATTGGTCAGGTGAATTAGTTCAACCGATTCAACCAGATCTAGTGGCCAAAACGAGTCAACCACTTAATCAGGGCCAAAAACATTACTTTTAATAATTAAAATTTATTATCACTTTTTAGATAAAAACAATAATTATTTTTAATAAATGTGAATAAATCTTAATAATTGAAATAAGAGAGATAATTAATTAAAGTTTTGTATAAATATGGTATATAAGATTTATGTGTAAATAAATCCTTACTCAATATATATATATTTGAACAAATTGAAATTAATTACGTATATTAGTTAAGTGAGTGAAGGAGAATTATGATTTATAGGGTTCGAACATATCACTCACAGGAGGAAAATAGCTCTAACCCAAGGTCCATACCACTGGGGTGGGAGCGGACTGTTCCTACTCAATATATACATATATATAT